TTTTTTTAATTTTGTAATTTAATTTAATCCCCACTAGAGTTTGGTTATTTTATTGTTCCCATGGACAGTTGCTGCCTTTTTGGGTTCTATCCACCTTTCTAAGGATGATTATGAACGCAGTTTTTCCATATTATAATGTTTTAATTTCTCCGGACATACCTAAATGATCAAATTTCTTCCTCTTCTTTCAGGTTGATTATGTGTTTGACATTGGTAGTAGCACATGGAAAACATTACACAGTGAAGAACAACTTAAGAATAATCTTTCTATCTTGTTGAAGTGGTCTCCATTCACCACAGAAGCCGAACTTCTGAAGCATGTGAGTATAGCTTTCACATTTTTTATAACTTATTTGCATAGCTCTTTTGAGTTTTTGGCTTCTGCATTTCTCTTTTCAGGAGAATTCATTTTCCATTTTTGCCGTATTATCACCTTGCGAATTTAATTCTCGCATTATTCTTGTGTTGCAGTGTGATGACATAGGCCCCCATGGTACCAAGATAATTGTTTACAATTTATGGCAAAACGATGAAGGAAAAATGGAAATTGATTTTGAGTCAGATAAGGAGGTTTGTGTTGGTTTCTAATTTTCTGCGTTGTTGGATTTACTGCAAAAATTACCCCCCCATAAAAAAAAAAAAGGAAAAATTATGGAACATACTGTATCAGTTTTGATATGAGCTTTAATTAAATGGCATCAGGATATTCGTTTATCTGCTAAAGGTAACATTACTGCAAGAGGTGCTCCTCGGAATGACCCAAATGAAAATCATCTTGCTAACCGTCTTCACTATTCACTACGTGTAAGTTTATTTCAGCTACAGTTATTCATATGATTATTTTCTATTCCAAGGTCACTTGCCGACTCATAGATTCAGGAATAGGCTAGAGATATATTAAGAATCACTCTGGAATCTGATCGATCTTTTGTACATGAGTAAAAAAGGTTAGATTTTTAGAGAAAATTTGAAGCTTTAAAAATTTTATTTGGGTTTAGTTTCAGTTATTGTTATGTTAAATAACTATCCTAACAGACGATTTAAAGTATAATGTATAGTACCTGTTCTGGTGTTGTTCATGATATGTTGTTTTTTGTATTTTTTTTTTTTTGTTATGTCTATAGACGCAAGCATCCATCCGAAACCGATTAAGGCATTGGAAATCCATATTGGAATGTGAGAACTGGTGAATTCAAATCATGTAAACTGGATTCTATATTTGATTTTATCAAGAATGCATTTTACACTGTTTTGATTCTATGATGTAATAATAACCTTGTATTATGTACAATACGGCTAAAAGTTCACTTGTCATCTCTTCTTGCTTGCTTGCTGCTATTTTTTGTGATCATGAGAATTTCTAACTATGTTAATATTTGTTTGTATCATGTAGGCTTTCAACATTGATGAGCCATACTCGGACGAGGACATTGAAAATATAAAAATGCGGTGGTCGAAGTACTTTCTTGAGGTTACTTCATTAGAAAAATAGACTTATCAGTTTGCTTACGTTTTATGGAATCTGAACTTAATAACTGTGGTTGATGACTTATTGTTGGTGTAGTGCATATGAAAATTATTGTTATAACTTGGTGTTGTTGAAATATTTTGGTTGTTAGTATTTGTCATGTGGGTTTTTGTTGACTTGTGAGAATATTTTGAATGTATGAATGTTATGATTTTGAAGTAATAGATTTTTAGATTTATAGGTAAAAAAATTGTATATTTTAATAAAATTGTTGTTTTATTTTACATCGGTTTTTATAAAGCCGATGCAAAAAGACTATTTCGACAAAAATGTTTGACGTCGGTTTTGCCGATAACCGATGTTATATGTCTTTATTTACATCGGTTATTTTGGTAACCGATGTTATATGTCTTTATTAACATCGGTTATTCTGGTAACCGATGTTATATGTCTTTATTTACATCGGTTTCGTCGATAACCGATGTTATATTTCTTTATTTACATCGGATTTTATACAAACCGATGTTAAATGTCTTATTTTACATCGGTTTTTATACAACCGATGTTAATATAATCGATTTTTTCCATTTTGGCAAAACCGATGTAAACAAATTTTTTTTCACATCGGTTTGTAATCGATGTAAAAAAGACAGACTTTTAACATCGCCTGTTTCAACATCGGTTTTAAAAATGGGTTTTAACCGATGTGAATATGATTTTTAACCGATGTAAAAAGTGTTTTTTCCACTAGTGAACATTAAATGGGAGGAGTAAATGCTCTCATTAAATACCAAATAAGTCACATATAGAGTTTACATTCGTACTGTTGTTGTACCGAATACCATACAAAATCCCCATTCGTGCAGACCGAACAGAGTATACATTCTAGTAAACGGTTCGAACACATTGTTGGTCAATTTTAGACATCAACATACATCTCATATGTAAAAATTTCTAATAACAAGAATATTAATAAGGATTCCTTTAATTAGGAAACCTTAAGTTTAAAGTTTGGGAATATTATGTGGAGTCAAGTTTTCAAGTATTTTCTTATAAGGTCAAGCTACGGACACCAGGTAAGTAAAAGTTCATTTTCAACTACAATCCATATACTTAGTATTTATATACTCGATTATGTGACTATGTGAATAGTGATCATATGTGAAATTAATGTGTATTTATGTTGCTAATTAATATTTGTGTGTGAAATCAATGTTAATATGTATTTATGATGTTAATTGATATTTGTATATGAAATTAATGTTAATGTGTATTTATATTGTTAATGGATATGTGATATTTGTCCTTATTATTGGGCATAGCATATATTTCATGAGCATGTACATGCATATGTCATAATCAGATAAGAATATCTTGCATGCACGACGTAATGAGAAAAGAAAAAGTATTTTATTATTAATTGGCCGCTGCTACGCACCGAGGTCAAGTGCCCCGTGAGACATTGCATAAGGGCGTGTGAGACGTAAGGACTTGAATTATTATTATGTTATGCTCAGTGCCCCGTGAGATATTGCATAAGGGCGTGTGAGACGTAAGGACTGAGCCATTACAGTGCCCCGTGAGCCATTGCTTTAAAGCGTGGGAGACGACCAGGACTGGAATGTTATGATTATTAATGATATTGAGCTCATTTCTGGTGTCTAGCAGTGAGGTCAAAGGGCCCAAGAAAGAAAAGTTTTCAGAAAGAAATGTTCACAACATGAATAATATACAAGCATTTACATTTCATGTTGTAATGCATATCAGCTGACGATGTTATTTCTTGACATGCATGCCGTGAAAGCCATGTTTTCTTAAGATACATCTCATATGTAAAATTTTCTAATAACAAGAATATTAATAAGGATTCCTTTAATTAGGAAACCTTAAGTTTAAAGTTTGGAAATATTATGTGGAGTCAAGTTTGTAAGTATTTTCTTATAAGGTCAAGCTACGGACACCAGGTAAGTAAAAGTTCATTTTCAACTACAATCCATAAACTGAGTATTTATATACTCGATTATGTGACTATGTGAATAGTGATTATATGTGAAATTAATGTGTATTTATGTTGTTAATTGATATTTGTATGTGAAATTAATGTTAATATGTATTTATGATGCTAATTGATATTTGTATGTGAAACTAATGTTAATGTGTATTTATATTGTTAATGGATATGTGATATTTGTCCTTATTATTGGGCATAGCATATATTTCATGAGCATGTGCATGCATATGTCATAATCAGATAAGAATATCTCGCATGCACGACGTAATGAGAAAAGAAAAAGTATTTTATTATTAATTGGCCGCTGCTATGCACCGAGGTCAAGTGCCCCGTGAGACATTGCATAAGGGCGTATGAGACGCAAGGACTTGAATTATTATTATGTTATGCTCAATGCCCCGTGAGACATTGCATAAGGGCGTGTGAGACGTAAGGACTGAGCCATTCTAGTGCCCCGTGAGCCATTGTTGTAAGGCGTGGGAGACGACCAGGACTGGAATGTTATGATTATTAATGATATTGAGCTCATTTCTGGTGCCTAGCAGTGAGGTCAAAGGGCCCAAGAAAGAAAAGTTTTCAGAAAGAAATGTTCACAACATGAATAATATACAAGCATTTGCATTTCATTTTGTAATGCATATCAGCTGACGATGTTATTTCTTGACATGCATGACTTTTACTTATTGAGCTCTAGCTAATGTAGTTTATGCATTGTAGGTGGCATGTCGATATCTGATGAACAGTGTTAAGGTTTGACTGTGCTGTTGGATCCAGAAAGTTTTGAGGACGTGTACATGGATGACGACCTGTTGGACTGACAAGAGCTTACATCCTTTTTGTAGTTTGGGTTATTTTGAGAATTTTTGTATGTATAAAACTTTGTAAACTGTTTCAGTTTCTGGATCCTTTTGATGTGAACAAATGATATTATCCGAGTTGTTTTAACAAATAAATCTGAATTTTGATAAGTTATTTTTAGAAAAATATGATTCGTATTTCAAAATATGAGAATATTTAGCAATAGAAGAGCGGGCGTGACAGTTAGTGCCGCCAAACCTTCAAGGCGTGGACCACCGCGGCTAACTCTAGATCATGAGTGGGGTAATTTTGCTCGTGAGGCTTCAGCTGCCTCGACACATAGGCCACTACTTTCCCTTGCTGCATCAGCACACAGCCTAAACCCATCTTCGAAGCGTCACTATAGATCGTGAACTCCAAAGTCGAGTCGGGAAAGGATAATGCGGGTGCGGTAGTTAGTCTTCCCTTCAACTCCTGGAAACTAGCCTCGCACTGGTGTGTAACGCCCAATTATCATTAAGAAAAAAATACCGAATTATTTTTCTAAAAATCAGAGTTAATTTTTCAAAAATCCAATGAAAGATTTATTTAACGGGCACTGCTCGATTATCTACATAACAACGGTTTAAGTAAAACACTTAAACAATGGGGTACAAACATCCCGAAACAAATATTTCATGTCAAACAATACACATGTTTCAACATTTATTCCATCATGCAAATATCCAATCAAGACCAACAATAATATCCAAGTCAACCAAATTCCAAATATTATTTAAGTCAAGTCAACCAAATTCCAAATATTATTTAAGTTTCAAAATATCCCAATCATGATAAAAAAATCCCAGAAAACAATGGTTCGGTTTCCACATGATAAATAAACAAGTCTAACAATGAGATAATCAATAATAATAAACGGAAGTAGGTAAATAGCAGTTCAACATCAAATAATGACCCCGCCTCGCTCGTCTGTCGCCACGGCCAGCAATTCAACCTGAAAAGATGGTTAATAGTGGGAGTGAGCAAACAACTAGCTCACCGTGAGAATACCATGCAGTATAATCAATATAATGATTTAATATCATAATCGCAGCATGAACATAATCATTTAGTCTACCTCCTATACCGCCCTATGTTCATGTCATCACATCTAAACCGTCGGACAAACATCCACGGGAGATACGCTCTCATTAGGCATAACTAGGAGAACCGTTTACCGGGAGATACACTCTTGAAGACTAATTCACATACAATTATTAAAATTAACATACATGGTAAGGTTTATCAACACCCACCTGATCAGTTGCAACAGATTAATCACACGATCGGTTGCAGGAAGGCTGAGCCTCGACTCCTCAAACACCTACAATTTTATTCAAGATAATATTTCAAAAATACTTATCTTGAAAATCGGGAATTCAAAACGAGAATGCATATTTAGTCGAAAAATCGTCGACTAAGTTGCTCGTGGAATTTTGTGGAATTTGGAACCCCGGATTTGGATATTTTCAAAATCTCGAAAAAATGATTTTTTTTTTTTTGTAGAAGATGATTTTGGCATAAAAACGAGGCTCAACAACTCTCAAAATAAGATCCAAATCTTTCGAAAATTAGCTAAGGCAATATTCTAAAATTACTCAAACATTTAAAAGATATAAAATTGTGGCTATTTTATAGTTTTCTTTTAAAAAAAAACGAACAGTAGGGAGTTCTCAAAACTTTGCAAACATTTTATCAAGCTTCAGGACTTAACACACACGGCCAATTGGAATTATTTATCAAGCAACAATTCTCAAATCTTAGCAAATATTTTATTATTTTAAAACATTTTAAGACAACAAACACCCCTTTTTCTAGAGGCTGAACACGAAGAAAAAAAATCTCTACCAAGGCACCAAAACAATTAA